TTGGCTTCAGTGTGGGGATCGGCTTGGAAGGGGACAAGAGAATCAAGATCAGTTAGGAAGTTGTTGGAACGGTCTGAGGATAAAGTCTTGGAGGTGGTACAACTAGACAGATGTGAGATTCCTTTGAATGGGAACTGATTACTTTTCTTGAATTAAGTTCTTTATGTGTATATCTGAGTCTAACCTTAGAGAAGTTTTTTTAAATTATTTTCTCCATTTATATACTATGTGTTTATTTCCTCTTTCATTTCTAGAAGACATTTCCCCAAAACATTTAGCATTTGCATTTGCTGCTCTGATTAAATCCTTCCTATCCCTACACTTACTTGCTCAGGAATTGATGAGATTGGAGGATTCTGAAATGCTTCAAACCTTACCCTGAGATCCCCTTCATTCGACACAGTTGAAATGATAAAAATGTAAGAACCATTTTATCCCCTCCAGATTATTGACCTGGCTGAAATAAACTGCATTCAAACCTAAGCATTTCTTAAGGCAATTTACCTATTAACAGCATAGTTCACTTTCAGGACCTGTTTGCTTATCCAGTAAGTACTTAACAGGTTCCAAATTTTAGACTTTCATAATGGGCCTCTTGATTTTTCTTGCATATCTGGGACAGAATGGGATGGATGTCTGGAACATTTGGAAAGTGTTGTTAAGACGTTACATTATTACTTAAGGATACCATAAGCATATCCTCCTGTTTCCAACACCGTCAAAGGGCAAAGTCAAAACAGACTGCAAATTGGACAACGTTGAATTAAAGATTCACCTCCAAGCATTAGGCTATCCATTATTCCTCCTCAGTGGACGCTCTTCTCAGACCGAAGTTGTCCACTTCAGAAAAAAGAAGCCTGCTACTAGGGAGGCTATAAATAGACTGGGCCCAGGCGTAAGGACATTCTGTACCCACGTCATGAAACCATGAGAGGCAAGGAGTGCAGAGGCATCCTTTATGTTTGTTGGGGACTTTGAAGGCAGCCTAGAGGGGAAGAGGAGGCCCAGAAATATAAAATGGCGATGGTTGTGGGCGGTGGGAGGAGAATGTATTTGTACCACAGTAAGGCACGGCATAGTGTGTTGTCAGTGCGAAAGAGACAAGCAGCCTCTGACATCTGGGACCCAGCCTGCCACTATTAAGTGGGCCTTGGTGTTTTCTTGTTGAACATAGTCTCACAGAACATCAACATTAGGGAAGGTCGCTCTGCGACCATGACAGATCAAGACAAAAATAAGACCACTCCACCATCATGTCTGAACATAGTCAAAATATGAAAAGTGTCCAACCCACAAAAATTACCAAACATCTCCTATCCTGGCTAACACGAGTGACTGTTGTTTCTTTACCAGTTACTGCTCTAGCTTCAGGTCAGTCTTCCCCATTTAGAGAGAAGATTGATTTAGAAATCCAATCGCAGAATTGCCCCCACTTTCTGATAGCCTCTAAACCAAGAACAAAATCAGCTAGAGTAGTTGACTCAGCCTGGTTTCCCCAGGAATTTCCTGGTTTAAGCACTGAAAATCCCACATTCCAGGAAATCCTTCAGTCTCAGGCGAGCTGGGATGGTTGGTAAATGGCTTGCTTCCCTAAACCCTCGTCCAGATCATCGAAAGCAAGCCCAAATCCTTTAAGTCCCTTCTACCACCCTCTTATTGATGTGACCCATGGTGCCCCATGGTGCACACTCTCCCTTTGCTGCAGTAAATAATAAACATAACTTTTCCGATGACAGGTCTGCCCCTAGTGGTCTTTGGTCAGAGGGCATCGACATCAGTAAGCAAGGAGGCACAACATTGTGGAAAGGCTCCCAAGGCCCAGCATGGAAAAATGGGACCGAAGGAATGCAGAGGTAAGTGGAGCAGGGCAGGAAGGAAAGGGTGCTACAGCCCTGAGGGGGCCAGAGTGTGATTTTCTGAAAAGGTGGTTTTTAGGGGTGATAAAAGATGAGGTGATGGAGATGAAGCCGGGAGGTTCTGGAGGAGGAGGAGGAGGAGGAGGAGGAGGAGGAGGATTTGTTGCCCCACCCTCTGTGCTTAAACAATCATTGAACACTACATCAAAAATTAATGATGTACTATGTGTTGGCTAATTGAACATAATAATTAAAAAAATAAAAAAGAATAATACAAAAGTGAAAAAAAAACCCAAAACTCAGAACACTAATGAAAAGACAGCAAAAATTCACACCATTTTGGCTTCTGTTACAAAATAATGACTGGGTCTTTAATGGTCTAGAAGTTGATCATAGAGTTTTTGTATCCACACTTGCTTCACTGTTTGTTGACTGCATCATCTAATAATTTCTATATAAGGGAAATTTCTAGGAAGGGAGAACTCCAATAACACGCTACTTGACAGGTCTTATAACTGCAAAACACTAAACTTACAATTTTAATTCTTCAGGGCTGAGAACATTGAATGTTAAAGATCAATAATCAGAGAGGGAGACAAACCATGAGAAAATCTTAACTCTAGGGAATAAACTGAGGGTTGCTGGAGGGGAGGGGGTGGGGGGATGGGGTAACTGGGTGATGGGCATTAAGGAGGGCATGTGATGTGATGAGCATGGGGTGTTATGTAAGATTGATGAATTACTGAACTCTACCTCTGAAACTAATGATGTACTATATGTTGGCTAATTGAATTTAAATAAAAAAAATAAAGTGGTAATAGGAGAAGTGAAAAAATAAAATAAAGGCCCAACAACAGTGCCTGACATATAGTAAAGGGCAACAAATATAAACTATTACAATGACTATCATTATGCTCTCTTTTTTCAATGCACTTATTTGAAAAGAGGGACAATGCAGTAGTTTTAAAAAATGTTTTTGATCACGTATCCTTGAGTACGCTGGAAGTACATATCGAATGCTAAATGTAACTGCCTTGTTTTTAATACTCTGCTTGGAGTCAGACGTTCAGATGACTGTGTGCATGCCTTTTGGCGAGATTTACTGTAAGACCTTTGGCAAATCTTTTCAAATCAGTGGCTGGGTCCCCACATTCCACTAGACGTTGGCCCCTACTGCACGTTGCAAAGCAAGTTTTGAAAACCGGACTGCTATTTAGTTTGGTACTGTTTATACTTCAAAAATAGCAGGGGGGGGGGGCGCCTGGGTGGCTCAGTCGTTAAGCGTCTGCCTTCGGCTCAGGTCATGGTCTCAGGGTCCTGGGATCGAGTCCCGCATCGGGCTCCCTGCTCTGCAGGGAGCCTGCTTCTCCCTCTCCCACTCCCCCCGCTTGTGTTCCCTCTCTCGCTGTGTGTCTCTCTCTGTCAAATAAATAAATAAAATCTTAAAAAAAAAAAAATAGCAGGGGGGGTGAAAACAAGGCGATGGTCCGTGCAAAAGGAAACCTAGAGCACTCAGAATCCAAGTTGAAACATTAGGGAAGTAGGTTCCTTAGAACAGGTTTAGTTTCTGATTTTCATGAGAAGTCTGTCTCTATTTCTACAAAAATAAAAGTCACCTGTAAAAATGTAGGAATACACAGGGAAGGCTTCTGGAGTTCTCTGAACTCCAAAAGAAAAAAGTGTGAATGCCTGAGTTCTGGGAGCATCCAGGATATATTACAAAAGTTAGCGAGTGGCATTTTGTACATTTATGATGATTTTGTACTGCTGAAAAGACCGTCTTTACCTGGCATTTTGATACCCAGAGAAACAAGCAGCTTAGTTTTCCCACATTAGTACTAAGCTGCCATATTGCATGGTGTTTAAACCATTGCATGTGTATAACCTGCATGTTCCAATCGCTACTATTCTTAACACAAATTTGATTTTCTCTCTTTTACAATTCTGAAATGTGTTGAATTTACATTAATTTCCTCAGGGGCCAAGTTTGGTGGTGATAACCAGTTATCCTGATACTGTGTTTTTGCAGCTCTTACCCTGTTTGAAATTCTTACCTTTTTTTTTTTTTTTTTTTCTTTAGCCATCTGGCCTAGAAATACCCATTCTTGCCCATAGTATAGAAAACTTGGGTAAGAAATCTAGCTCTTTTTTTTTTTTTTTTTAGATTTTATTTATTTATTTGACAGAGAAAGACATAGTGAGAGCAGGAACACACGCAGGGGGAGTGGGAGAGGGAGAAACAGGCTTCCCTCAGAGCAGGGAGCCCGATGTAGGACTCCATCCCAGGACCCTGGGATCATGACCTGAGCCGAGGGCAGACGCTTAACGACTGAGCCACCCAGGCGCCCAAGAAATCTAGCTCTTTACTAGTTTAAACACCATTTACTTGGAAAGTGGCATTGTTTCACAAAACAAATAAAATAAAAACAGTAATTCTCGGAAGTAAATTCCAATATGAAGTTAATAAATTAGATGATTATATTTACTTATGAAGTCCTAAGTAAATACTTCTAAGGGAAACTTTTACTTTTGATGTAAATTTCAGTGTGATCCTATTTCTACCATGCCTTTTCCAATATATAATTTTTCTTAGGGAGTAGTTTTATATGTATTAGTCCCACAAACAGATTCAAATCTCATACACAGCAGATAGTCGAATTCTCATTTCTGTAAACATTTTGTACACTTACAATATGCTATTGTTTACTCATAATAATTAATCAGTTTTATAGTTACTGCATACTTGAATACGTACAATCCTTTCTGCCTAAGAAAATGAATCGAACTGAAAAACACAAATTGAAAATGGATATAAAATATTTGTTTTCTTTAATGTTCGTAGGTAAGGTACGTTTTCTTCAAAAGCAGTTATGTAATAAACAGTGAGCAAACTAATACAACTAAGAAACTCATGAAAGAAAATAGGGATCACTTCATGAATTGTTTTTGTCCTTGGAGCAAATTAATCACAAATATTAAGTAATAATAGTAAAGAGATTCCAGGTCGTGCTGGGCAAAAAAAAAAAAAAAAAATTTAAATTGTTTTACAGTGTCATTGCCAGATCTTAGAGTAATTCTAGATGGAAATACCATTTTAAGATAAACAAAGACATAAACCCTCTTTGGGACTCGGACGTTACTTACCGAAATTGGCCATCTGTATCGTCTGGTTGCCAGTGTCCGGAACATTGTAAATCACAACAGCATCTGCGTTTCTTCTGCCTGCTGCTTGAATTTTTTCCAAAAATGTACAATTACCTCTTTCTATCAGCGCAATCCAGGGACTGTTAGTATTAGTAAACTCAGTGTTGTAGTCACAAGCTTGGTACTTATTGTTCTTAGGGATGCTCACCACCCCCATAGCATTAGCCACTGGTGAAGCTAATCCATAAACACCACATTCACACCTCTCTATTGTAGTGTAGTTGCTGGTTTCATTATAATAAGTCACAGTCACATAGGCATTCATTGAAAAAGACGCTGTGATTTTAAATAAGAAGATAAAAATTACAAGCAGCCAAAAACAACTGGACTTATTCTCCTGGTTCATTGCTCGTTCATCTGAACATAAAACTTAAGATGTCTGCCGGTATTTCCAACTATCAGTCACCATTTGTCCACTCAGGTCCCTGCTAAGCAGAAGTTTGAAATTTCAGTTGCGAGTAGGTAACTGATCTCACCTCTAGCAACGTAAGCTCTGAATACGTCAGCTCTATTTCACTTTAGTTACCTACATTCTCCCTTGCCTGCCCCTCCTCCAGCGGTACACACGTAACCTTTAACCAGGACTACCTTAGCAATAAATAACACCATAAACTTTATTCTACATGTCAACTTATCAGGATTGGATGACTTCCTGCACTGAGATTTTTTCTTAATGTGCCAGCTAATGCAATTTCATAAACATGGAGTGGATCGGAATGAGGAACTGGACTCTTGGGAATCCCACGTGACGAGGCTGAAAGTCACCTCTCTCAGAATATCTAAAACAAACTGGTTTTCCAAGCCCTGCTGAAATATGCTATCAACCAGTTCAGCCAGGAGTTAAGATCCAGAAGTTTAACTGCTATGGTAGGAGTAGAATTGGTTTCATAGCCTTTCTGCCTTTTATTTCTTTGTGGAATTTTTCTTAACAGGCTCCCCAAGGAATATCTTCTGCCACCTTGTTTATCCGTTGAAAAGTAAACATATTTCAGTGGCTAGGGATCCTTTCAAGTACAGTGCCTTGCCCATGGTAGGCACTCAAATATTTGTTGATTGCCCGATACCTGAGTAGCTGCATTCCATTAATTTTTATGTCCCATGTGTTATGCTGTAACAGAAGATTGGTCAAGGTTTAATTGTGAATATTTAGTCTTTTTAATTCTAGTGCTTTCAGATGTCTAGGCAGACTTATTTTGTCACTTCCTTTATTGTAAGCTCTGCTTTTAATCAGGAGTGCAACTGATATGTATTGCTGAGGGGTCAACCGGTCTGGGCAAGTGGCCGGACTAGGGAGATTGCTATATGTGCCAAGGGCTGGTGAAGAGGTAGATAAATGGACAACAAGATAGAGATATCAGGAATCTGGGCTAAGAGTCAGCAAATGAGACAAACAGGCATCAGGCTGTCAGAGAAGCCGAGGACACCAGGTCAAAAGGAAGGCAGGCACAATGGTGGTCTGAAGTCCAAGGGAAGTAGTCTGGAACCAGACAGATTACTAGAGCCAGGGGAACAGGACAACAGAAAATAGGAAAATAGGAGACATTGTTGAACGAGATAATCAATGAAGATACTTCTTCCCCTACTTCTTGTCTATCCTTAGGCATCTGAGATAACAGCGTTGGAGTGGACCCTGCGGTAGGAATGAACAGTAACACTATTCAGCAGAAGGGAGGAGTTCAGGAAATGTGCAATAGAAACTGATGAATAAATCCCAACAGACGCACGCTACCGATTTAACCTTTCTATCCTATTATAGCTGTCGGTTACTCACCTGTGTATCCCCTCTCCACAATACCTTTTATTATAAACACCTTACAGATAGTAATCAGTTAATAATTATTCATGGAATTGAACTGGAAAGTTAAAGGTCTAGGTGTATTAGCTTGTGGTCTACTTAAAAGTAAACACAAATAGTTTATTATTTTGCTATTGAGACTATGATTTCAATGTTCAAACTCATAATAAAGCCTGTCCTCAATGGACAAAGAAAACTGTCAAATTGAAAAGGCAAGTGTTACTATTGCTAAAACCGTTAGTTTGCTGATTGCCGATAGACATCTCTGATAAATGCAACATTAGCATGCAACATGCAAATAATTAGTCAAGTCCTAGAAATTTTATTTCACTTTTCCTACCAGGTATTAAATCGCTTCTCAAGGAGAAACTTTTCATGAAATAGTTTAAAAACAGATTAGTGAGAAACTAGCTAAATCCATTAGAAGTTAAGTTTTGTTCATGGTAACTTAATAGTTTCAAATCTTCACATTATATTTTTTGTAGAAGTTAAATCATTCCAGGCCTTAAAAATGACAACTTTCCTGTAACATTTTGTGGCAGTGCTGGGGCATTAAAGATAATTTTACTAAACTATTTAAAATTGCTCTGAAGGTTGAAGTGCATGACTTCATATGGTAACCAGCATTATACATCTTGTACATAGGTGCATTTATATGACTTTCAGAGAGAGAGAGAGAGAGAGTTGTAACTTACAAAGATAATCTTAGATTTTTAAAAATTTGCGATTAAGTAAAATTAGTTCCAGAATAATAAACACCCACCAATGTAATTTTTCTTAAGGTAATTTGCTGGGGTGTGAGTGGTCTAGTACTTATTCAGTGTTTCTAAAGTTTTTTTTTCAAGATTTTATTTATTTGAGAGAGAGAGCACACGTGGAAGGGAGTGGCAGAGGGAGAGGGAGAAGCAGACTCCCTGAGGAGCAGGGAGCCCGACATAGGGGCTCGATCCCAGGACCCTGAGATCATGACCTGAGCCAAAGGTAGACGCCTAGCTGACTGAGCCACCCAGGTGCCCCTAAAGTTTTGTTTGTGGAACACCTACATTATACTCACTTGAAATTTTATTAAAAATGAAGATTTCTGAGTCCCACCCCCAATCATCCTGAATCAGAATCTGAGGGAAATATCTAGGAATTCACATTTTAAATAAGCTCTCCAGGTAATTCTTATGCACTTCACAATTTAAGAACTTGAAATCGTAAAGTTGTACATGATGAAAATGGTACAGGATCTAGTTGTAGTTTTGACAGACTTGCCACCGTCATTTTATTTCAACCTCGTTGTGCTTCAGCTTCCAATCTATATTTGTATTATCTATATAGCGTATGCCTACATATGGTACAATCTGTATTTGTAGGTTTGTCTGTACTTTAGGTAGAAGTCTGAACATTTTTGAAGTATATTGCAAACCCGAAGTTGGCACAAGTGCTGATTCTACAACAGCTACTATTACATCCTCAAAAATAAAAACCTCTCTGGGACTTTTTCTTCATTTACACAATAAAAGAGGTTGGATTAGAATTTATTTACCCATAAGGTCTTTTCCAGACCTGATATGCTAGAACTCTGAAAATAAAAGTTGTTCAGAAACTCAATTTTTTTAAAGATTTTATTTATTTGAGAGAGAGAGCAAGCGAGAGAGCACACAAGTGGGAGGGGCAGAGAGAGAAGAGAATCTCAAACAGACTCGATCTGAGCGTGGAGCCCAACACGGGGCTCGATTTCATGACCCTGAGATCATGACCTGAGCCGAAACCAAGAGTCAGATGTTTAACCGACTGAGCCACCCAGGCGCCCTTAGAAACTATCAGTTTTTAATTTTTCCTTCTTTTCAGCACAATTCATGATGAAACTGCTTTGAGAGTAGCTGAAGCTGTAGCACCTGAAGGAGAGGTAAGTTCAAAGTATTGGGTAAAGCTTGAGCTTTGATAAAACTGGTAAGTGCTTTAAACAGTACTATATAGCAGGGGTTTTCAAACTTGTCTGCCGATTAGAATCACCTGGGGAGCTGTTAATTACCTCGATGCCCAGGCTACACTAACCAGAAACTTGGGGATGACACCTAGGCATAGTAATTTTTAAAACTTGCCAGGTAATACCAATATGAAGCCAAGTTTGAGAACCACTGCTATACAGTATTGTTCAAACATGTAATATTCCTGGACCTTTTTGATTACTTGTACCTTAATAAATATTAAATATCTTAGCAAAGGTACATAATATTAATAAAGGCATAGAGAAGGGAATTGTTCATCTCTTAGGCAAGGAACATTTCAAATTTCTCCATATTACTGAACAACATTTATGGCAAACCCACCATTGAAAGATGAGAAAGCACAGCTGCGTTTCTAATAGAATACAGGTAACCCTTGATTATTCATAGCAAACTTCCAGTTCTGGGCTGAGTGACTCCAACTTGGTGTATGTTCAAAAGGAATAAAAATTAATTTTAATATTAGCCTAAGCTGAATAAAAGAAATAACTGAGATCTGATATTACAGAATCACTCGATGTCCAAAGTCAAATATGCCTAGGACCATATGACAGCAAAGATACATGAAAGTCATCTACATTTTACTTGGTAACTAAGAAATTGCCTTTGTGATTTTGAGGGGGGAGGGGAAGAATTTTGTGAGTGTTAAAATTTTTTTCTTTCAGTGAGAATTTGTTAAGAACTGGGTCATTAGAATTGGGCAAGATGCCTGAATCTATATTTTAATGTTAACTCTGAAATTTATATGGACTATATCTGCTCCCAATCTCATTTGTCATCGAGCTGGTCCCCTTGCTTTCACTTCTGCCCCCTGCATTAGTAGTATACAGGTTGGACTGCCAGAGACCCAAAATAGTGGTGACATAAACAAGATAGTTTATTTTTCTCTCATGTAACAGCCCAAACAGGTAAAAAGTACAAAGCTGGTATGGCAGTTCCACAATATCAGGGATCTAGGCTCCTACTAGCTGGTTGGGTTCACATCCCTAGAATTTTGCTCTTCATCTGCAAGGTACAAGATGTCTCACCACCAGGCTCACATTTTAGCCAATGGGAAGGGGGGTAAAGGGAAAGAGCATTCTCTTACAACCTTTGAAGAATTGGTTCAGTAATTGTACAGATCACTTATGCTCACTTCTGAACTTAGAACTTAGTCACAAGGCCATATCTAGCAACAAAGGAACCAGGGGAAAATATTCTTTATTGTAGGTAGCTATGTGCCCAGCTAAAAATCGACAGATCTACTACTATAGAAGAGAATAGTTATTAGGGTCCACTAACAGTCTCTAGCAACCTCTTTATATCCATTCTCCTTCCAGGAGACAATGACCATTCTAAAACATAAATTGAATCATGGTGCATATTGGTCATAAACCGTATAATGGCTTCCCAGTGCTCTGAAGATACAAATTAAAATCTCTACTCTGGCCTACAAGGCTCTGCATAGCCTGCAAGAGCCTTGGTCTATTTGCTTGTCTCCTCTTGCACCCCACTTTCTGCACTCTAGCCATATCAGTTCTCATTCAAGTCTTCAAACACACATTCACTTTCTCAGGAAAAACTTTCCCAGTGCCCCCCACCCAAACCTGGCTTCCTTTGTCAAAAAGCTCTAATATAAAACACATAACTTTCCTTTGCAGCACTTAGCTCACTTATGTGTACAATTTTTTGAATGTCTCTCTCCTCCCCAACACTGTAAGCTCTATGAGAGTAGGGGCCATGTGTTTTTGCTTGTATTGTGTTGTGTTCCTAGTGCCAACCTAGTGCTTGCCACAGAGTGAGCATTCAAACACTTGGATATATGTTGCAATAGTTTGGCTTATTATTTTATGAGCCCCAGGGTTTGGAGAAGTTTATCTCACAGTGATCTGATATATTATGTGAAATGTTACCCTTATTCAAACATCTTACTTTGGTGCAAAATAGAGCTTAAAGAAACAGACTTTGGAGTTATAAGCCTAACCTTCTAATTTAATTGCTTTGACAATTTTACATTAAATCATTTAGTCTTTTATTGTTTTGTTCCCCATCCACAAAATAGATATTAAAACCTTCTTGGGGGCAACTTCTAGACCCTAAGCTACTATGTATGAGTCAGATGCAATCATCTCAGAATAGCATCAGAAGTACTCACATTCTTTAAAAAGGGTTGCTTGACTTTCAATGAAGATGTGCATATCATTAAAAAGAAGCTAAAATATTTCAGATTTCTCTTTTGAGAAAAAATAATATATTATTGCTGAAAAGGCAACAAGTTAGGAAGAACACTAGCAGTAAAAAAAAAAACCAAAAAAAAAAAAAAACCCCAAAAAACCCTGGGATGAAAAAATTTCAACTGTTTTTTTGTTATAATGAGCTGCTATAATTGATAAATGGTCTAATTATATTAAAATGTTCTTCATAGAAAACCACATTTCATGAGACACATAAAAATAACACAAACACATTTTCAGTGTTCTAATACCTGTATTAATAGACCTTTATTAATAGACCCAAAGAATCATAGAGCCAGATGGGACCATTATTTTGCAAATTTTACAAATAAGGAAACTAAGGCCTAGCAGTTTAAGTGGCTTTCCATAAAATTTCTCAGGCATTTAGGGACAGAGCCATGGCTAGCTTTAAACGTGTTTTCTTCAAAATCTACATTTTATTTCTTCACTGTAAAGGAAAACAAAAACTTAGGGCTAGAAGTGGCATCAACATAATAATGTAAGAATGAAGATAACATAATGAGTGGGATGACCTGGACCAAGAGATGAGTTTATATATAATGTTTCTATTTTGGGCAATAGACACAAATATAATATGACCTGACTCAAAGATAATCTTGAAGAACTGGAATCTTCAGATAATACCCAAATCTGGTTTTGCTTTTCAATTTTTAACCTTTTTTCCTAAAATTTCTTTACTAAAAGCAGTTGATTACTAAAATATTCAGGACTGGGGGCACCTGGGTGGCTCAGTCAGTTGAGCATCTGCCTTCCACTTAGGTCATGATCCCGGTGTCCTGGGATCGAGTCCTCATTGGGCAACCCCCTGGGCGGGGGAGTCTGCTTCTCCCTCTCCCTCTGCCCTTCCCCACCATTTGTGTTCTCCTCTCTCTCTCTCTCTCTCTCTCTCTCAAATAAACAAATAAAATCTTAAAAAAAGTAAAATAATGAGGACTGAATAATACATATTTCACTTCCCATCAGTGTACCTGCAAATTCTTGGGTAGCAATGTTTAAGGAAGAAAAAAAGAAGAAAATGTACCTGAAAAGCAAACCAGTGAAACAGCAAGCAGTATAAACCATAGAAATGCCTTTGGAATAACAGAATCGGTTATAACCTATGTCCGTATTGGCAGAGAGTGTACAGCTAAAAATATCAAACATTATTACCGTCATCAAATAAGAGTGACAGTCATTTCTTAAAAGTCCTTTTCTTAATATGAATAAAATGAATGCAGGGTAATTCCATAAAGAAATAAAAATAGCAGAAGAACAGATACTCACATTCTTTCTTTAATAGCTTACTACAGGATTTCAATGTGCATATCTCATGTGCCATCTAAAGAGAGAGACTGTGGTTCTCCAGTAGATTATATAATATTTCATAATTTACTAACTGATTCCTTAATTTGAAGTTGACATCACAGTAATATATTTGTGTGGCTTTGGAATTAATGAACACATATTGTCACTTGTAGGTAAGTTCTTCTGATGGTAGTTTGGTATTTTTCTTAGGAAATGCTACCATAGCTCTCCCATTTTACAACAACCAGAAATGTGGACACAGAAATGTAACTCCAAATTTAGATAGAAACACTTCTAGAATATAAAATAAATTGCCAGGAAAGTTGTTTTTAAAGATCCTAAATTTTCAAAAATTGTTCATATTTCTCATTCAATATGAGAATAGAAATTATACCTGTTAAAGTGTGTAGCTTTGAAATCTCACCTGAGGTTTTTAGTCAATAGCCATGTAAGTATTAATATTTCCCTTCTCAACATTTACATGTCAGTAAAATGGAACTGCCTTTTAAAGTTTATAATGGCTTAATACAGAAACCCAGATTCCATTTGATAAACAAGTCTTCAGCCCATAGGGAAGAATCATATTGGCTCATTTAGCAAGCATATGTAGGTCTATTATTGGCCAAAAAATATGGAGGAGGGCCACCAAATACGTTAAAAATGAGACAAGAGAACAAAAAAGTTATTGTGTTTTTTAACTTTAATAATACACTCAAAATTTTAACACAAGAAGGATTCACTATTTTAATTAACATTTAAACACAATTATAAGGAACAAAAGGCTGAATGCATTTATGAACAAAGTACAGCATCTGTCTTTAGATTCATGAGCTGCCCCAAACATTTAAAATATATAGTGTATGAAGTCACAGAACCATAGGGCTAGAAGAAAACCCACAAGGTAATTGCTTAACTAGATTCAGATTGATCTTGACACTGAATACTTTTTAACTCGTGATGGTCATTTTGGTCATCTAACCACATAATTGTCAACCACAAGGCTTCGCAAATGTGGAATGGCGATTTACAGTTAAAACGAAGTATAACAGATAACCAGAATAAAATCCCCTTAGTCTCTGTTTTATATTTTCAATATGCACACTTAAAATGTTAATATGAGATAAAATTTCACTATTTAAACTCACATTACATGTACCAAAACTACAAATGAATACAGCAAAAATAGAGACCTACTGTAGCCTCTCTGGCTTTTAAGTTCACGCACTGGTCAAAACATTTAGAAAGTCAAAGGATAAGAAGTCACAATAAAGAGTGGAAAGTCTTAAGACAATTTAACACACTCATTGTACAGCTGACCAAACTAAGGACCAAGGCAACTGGACAGTAACAATCCATGTGTGCTTTTTGAAAATGACAGTAACCACCACAGTCATGAAAAATGCAGGTTGACCACTTTAGGAGAATTTAATCTTCAAATTAGCAATTCAGAATTTCCCACTATAGGTGAATAAAAGTGGAAGGATGTTAAATATTCACGAGAAGTTACTCTTGTAAGTCAGGATGCCTTCGGCTGAGGCTTGAGAATAAAAGCACTTCACAAATAGAATAGTGAACACAAATTATTACAAGATAATATATAGAAGTAAGGTAGATTTTCTTGATACACAAAAACTGTTTCGATGAACTTTTCAGTAATGAACTTAAAATGAAGTGTGTTAGCTTCAAACACAAGGTGAACATAAAACCACTTAATAACTTTAGAGCGTATGTAATATTCTTGCCGAAAAACGGTTGCTGAAATTACCAACAAAATGACAGAATATCTTTAAAGCAGTGCCCTCCTTATAACCTGTAATCGTTTCACTTGCCAATTTTTAAGAAGTATTAGTTGGGCTATAAATTCTGTGCAGGTAGACTTCTACTTTATTGTTACCCAAATTACAGATATCCAAGATACCGACGATATGCACTCTATCCAGTTTACTCACAGCCTTTATAATATCACCTAAAAGTAAAAAGCAGATGGTAAGTATTGTAAAATAGTTAAATATTTACTTGGATTTAGTATCACATAAGCTGATGTGTTTTTTTTTCTTATAGCATTAACAATGTCCCTCATCTTCTCCCTCTTCCCTCCAATTTATCACACGTTCATCGAAGTTACATTATGGTAACTTCCACACATAACAATGACTATATCACACAGATACGGGCTGGTATCCCAAAGCCATATTTAGTTATTTTTACTTCTTAAGTCTTTTTGGTGGAGTAGAGTAAGTCTATATATTTTCCAGGTTCTTTATATGGTACCAAGTAAACAACTTATTGTTTACACTTCAAGGGAGTACAACAATCATTTTTTTTTTCTATTTTGAAATTTATTTATCAATTCTTTACAAAACTTACAAGACGTAAAGCAAAATACATATATGTAATTGAAGTTATTTTCAAAGTATATTTCCTTTGAAACAGCTTTATTAACTAACACTTAGCTTTGGATACTCTCAAGAAGCTTTATCAAAAATGGATCAGGGGAGGGACACTACTGTATATGGCGGAGTAGGCGGTTTCAGGGCTGTGTCCCTCCACTAAAGCAACTTACAGGCTGAAAAAACTCTCAGATCAACTTCGGCAGAACTCTGGAATCTATACAAAAACTTAAAACAATCAAGGGAAAGATTAATAGAGAAAGAGCTGCTGCACTGTGGTAAGAATGCGCTGTGGTATTTTATTTATTTTTTAAAGATTTTATTTATTTATTTGACACAGAGAGAGGGATGCACAGCGAGAGAGGGAACACAAGCAGGGGGAGCGGGAGAGGGAGAAGCAGGCTTCCCGCGGAGCAGGGAGCCCGATGCGGGGCTCGATCCCAGGACCTCGGCATCATGACCTGAGCCGAAGGCAGACGCTTAACGACTGAGCCCCCCAGGCGCCCCATGTTGGTGGTATTTTAAATTGCCCATCTACTCCCTGTTAGCAGCAGCAGCCATAAAGCCGGCAGCTCGCACTCCTGCTGTAGGTGGCTAGTACCAGACGGTGCGATGCAGAACTTATTCTCAAAGACGTTGTGAGTTTGGACCTGTTAGGCAGTTCCCTCAAGGGCAGATGCAAGAGCTTGCTTTCGTTTCACCTGATTTGGGGCATTCCCACAACTGGGGTAGCTTCCCCAGTGGCTTTTGTTGAAAGCATATGACGGCAAAAACACTAGCCAGAGCAGCTGGGTCAAAGTATAAAGCTGGGACCAGCAATAGACAGATCAAAAAGCCTGAGGAGGAAGGGGTTGGGAAAAGACACATGCAGGGGGATAAGGGCTTTTTAAAAGGTCCTGTGTACACTGGGGCATCAAGAAGGCTACATGTATGCCCAGTGCTGGATGCATGCTCAGGAAAGGCCTGAGAAAAACTCCAATTGTTCACCTCCGGCTGACCATCTGCAGGCTCTGCTGAGCAGGAAGTGAAAGCTAAGACAGGGTTGTAAACAGCCTGGGTAAGCCCTGAACACAGATCCAATGGCAAAAACTGGAGATCATTTTTGTCCTTGTTTTCCTTTTCTGTCCTCCAGGTGTTTAAAGAAACTCTTCCAAAGCACCAACTGACCACTACTAAGCTAACGGATCACAGACACCAGTGGCTACACATGACAAAGACTTCATTTTATGCATGAAAAAATGAAAACATTTAGAGGTTAAGGAACTTATGCAAAGTCTCATGGTGATTCGAATCTTTATAGTCTGGCCTCGAGGCATGTGCTCTCCACCTTTGTATGCTAGGGCTACATCTCTGTAAAACTGTATCTAAAAGCCAGTGGTGGATCTAGGTTTTGTGGGGCCTGAAGGGCATACTATTTAGAAGCCCCCTTTATCTATACAGTACCAAAGCAAGTGAGGGCTTCTCAAGCGTAGTCTTTGTTAGCTTCACAATTAAAGCCACCTCCGCTAGACATGTCACAAAATCTGTTGAACGGTTTATAACTGTGCAAACTCACTAATGCACAGTGAATATAATAATGACAAATCTAGAAAATAACTACATAACTTTCTCCTTCTTTGAATGGGATGGACTTTAACCTAGATGCTTTGGAAAGATTTCGAGATCTTTAGCTTTGACTCTGACAGCAACAACCCAGACCTTAATAATTCTAATTGTTATCATAAATTGACTTTTACAAATAATCACTTACAGAGTCCCTGCAACATAAAGTGTAAGTAAATCTACTGTTTGGGTGAGTGACTCTGCCTACTTGCTTTGAGCAAATGAAGACCTCTCAAACTGCTCATCTGGTACTACATCAGAGAATGTTGTGAGGATTAAATACTCAGGATGTAGAGCACTTAGAATGGTGGCTGACACATAGCAAGAACTCAGGTATCAGCAACAATCATTTTCTTTTTCTTTTTTTAAGATTTTATTTATTTATTTGACAGAGAGAGAGAGAGAGACATAGCGAGAGAGGGAACACAAGCAGGGGGAGAGGGAGAAGCAGGCTTCCCACTGAGCAGGGAGCCCGATGCAGGGCTTGATCCCAGGAGGATGGGATCATGACCTGAGCTGAAGGCAGACGCTTAATGACTGAGCCCCCCAGGCACCACAGCAACAATCATTTTCTACTTAAGAAAACTTAGTATGAAATTAGCATGTTGTTTATATCACATAGGGATTCTCTTAAAAGGACTATGGATTTTTACCTATAAAATGAGCTTCTCTACATTTCACTTTAAATTGTTAGAACTGTGTAAAAACTACTTTTTTAGAAATGTCACAGATGCATGCGATGAGGGTGACAAAGGCATTGCTATGTAGAAGTTCTCCACTCCATTTCCTCATGGTCACATGGGAAGCCAAAGTGTCCTGGCATCCCTTGTAGCTAGGTTGGGATCGTGTAAGTAAGTTCTGGCAAATGAGAATGTGAGTAGAAATGATGTGTCACTTCCAGTCTAACATAATTAAAAGCGAACATCTCCTTCATTTCTTCTTTCCTTTGCCTACACAGCCCTAGAAGCCACTTGTTCCTGCTGAAGCTGCAACAAGATGGAAGCAGACTGCCTTCCTGAATCACCACTGAGAAGAAAGCTAATAATTAGTGCATCAGGTTTAACTTGAGCAAGAAATAAACATCTATTGTGTTAAAAGTCACTGAGACTTTGAAGTGGCTTTGTAACTGTGGCACCATCTAACCTATCTTGTAACACAGTGCGGTATTCCTGCCTGCAAAAATAATACGGAAAACCCTGATTACCTTGAGAATAAAACTGTTTTCTTACATGTGCTAAAACTCTTCCGTATCATGTTATGCTTCTGAAGTGTTTATCAATGGAGACGTTAACTCAATGTGTTCAAAGAGGAGGAGGGTGTGTGTGTGTGTGTGTGTGTGTGTATCTATAGTTCATAAAGATGATACCAATTAGGACATCATATCAGTAAGCGTTAGTCAATAAATGATTTGGGAAATACTGCTAACCCCTTGGAAAAAAATAAAGCTGGGTCCATTTCTCACTTTCCATACCAAAAGAAATTCCAAATGGATTAAAATTTTCAACGGTGAAAATTAAGCCATATTAACAACAAAACCCTAAATAATCCAGTTCAAAATTGGCAAAGAACTTGAATATACATTTCTCCAAAGAAGACATACAAATGGCCAATGAGCACATGAAAAGATGCCCAACATCATTCATAATTAGGGACATGCAAATCAGAACCAAAATGAAATACCATTTCAGGATGGTTGGTTTGTTAAAACAAAAACAAAGACAAAAACTAACAGAAAATAACAAGTATTGGTGAGAATGTGGAGAAATTGGGATCCTCATGCATTGCTGGTAGGAATGTAAAATGGTGCAGCTGCTGTGGACAATGGTTTGGTGGTTGTTCAAAAAGTTAAATTCAGAATTACTATACGACTCAGCAATTCCACTCCTAGGTATATTCCCAAAAGAACTGAAAGCAAAGACTTGGATACTCATACACCAATATTCATAGCAGAATTATTCACAATAGCGAAGAGGTAAAAACAACCCAAATGTCCATCAACACATGAATAGATACACAAAATGTGGTATATACATACCACGAAATATTTTCAGCTGTAAAAAGGAATGAAATTCTGATGTATATTACAACATGGATGACCAAGTGACATAAGCCAGGCACAAAGGGCAAAGACTGTATGATTCCACTTATATGAGTTATCTGGAACAGGCAAATTCATAGAGACAGAAAGTAAAACAGAGGTTACCAAGGGCAGGGGAGAGCGGGGCAACGGGGAGTTACTATTTAAAGGTATCAGAATTTCTGTTTGGGATGATAAAAAAGTTCTAAAAATGGATAGCAGTGATGGTTGCACAACACTGTGAGTGTACTTAATTTCACTGAATTGTACAGTTAAAAATGGTTAAAGTGGTAAATTTTATGTAAATTTTGTCATAATAAAAATGATAGGAGTAAAAAAATGAAACTATAAAAGTACCAAAAACCCATACTGAATTTAAAGAAATAATCTTGGACTAAGTGATGCCTTTCTGAGTATGACATAAAACCAGCAGCCACAAAAATAAAAGATTGATATATTTGAGTACATATAAATAAAATTACTTAAAATACCAAAAGAAGCCTCCCATTGAACAAATTTAGTCAAACAGGATAAAAGTATTTGCAACACACAATAAGGGATTAACTCCTTTAATATGTAAATAAAATTTATAAATTAATAAGAAAAAGAACATTCTTATAGAAAAATGGAAAAAATAAAACTAGCATATAAAATTCATAGAAGAAATATAAATGGCCAACAAACATGAAGATGTTCAAGCTTAGAAATAAATAAGAAATGCAAATGAAAATAGTGATATAATAACTTTTTTTGCCACCAGTCTGCCAACATTTAACAAGAACAACAATATCTAGCATTTCTAAGGGTGTGAGTAAAGTGGCATTCTTGCTTTTGGTAAAAGTGTAAATCAGTATAAATCTTTTGGATGACAATGTGACAGTACTACCAAAATTTTAAATGCCTACATCTTTGAGTCAGTGACTTCTCTTCCAAGAATTCATCTTACAGATATATGTATAAGTGCACAAAGATTATGTATACACACACAGAGATAGACAGATATTTATTGCAGTACTCTTTGCCGAGAGCCAAAATATTTGAAAACAATCTCAACACCCATCACTAGGAGCCTGATTAAGTAAATTTTGGTACATCCACACAGTGAAATATTTATAGGTATTAAAATGAATGAAGTAGCTCTCTATATATTAACATGAAAACTATTCAAGATACATTGTCAAGAGGAAAAAGGCGGTTATGGAACTATATGTTTACTATAATTCCATTTATGTGTATTTCTTTAAGACTGTGTGTGTGGGCGATCAAGTGAGATTTATTCCCAGTTGCAAGGGTGGTTTAATATTTGCAAATGAGTCAACTTGATAAATCACATCGATATAGTATATGTGCTGCCGAAGCGAGCACGATAAATCACATCGATAAAAGAAAGGCTGAAAACCATATGATCATTTCAATAGACACAGATAAAGCATTTGATAAAGTACAACATCCATGAATGATGAAAACCCTCTGCAACGTAGTTCTAGAGGGAACATACCCCAACATAACAAATGCCATATATGAAAAACCCACAGCTAACACCATCCTAAATGGGAAGAAACTGAGAGCTTTTCCCCTAAGGTCAGGAACATGATAAGGATGACTACTCTTACCACGTTTATTCAACACAGTACTGGAAGTCCTAGCCACAGCAGTCAGACAACAAAAAGAAACAGAAGACCTCCAAATCGGTAAGGAAGAAGTAAAACATTCAGTATTTGCAGATGACATGATACTATATATAGAAAATCCTAAAGACTCCACCAAAAAACAGCTAGAACTGATAAAAAAAATTCACTAAAGTTGCAGGATACAAAAACAACATACAGAAATCTGTTGCATTTCTATACAGTAATAATGAAAACAGTAGAAAGAGAAATTAAGAAAACCCTGACACAACTGCAAACCAAATAATAAGATACCTAGGAATAAACCTCACCAAAGAGGTGAAAGACCTGTACTCTGAAAACCATAAAACATTGATGAAAGAAATTGAAGATGACATAAAGAAATGGAAAGACATTCCATACTCATGGATTGGAAGAACGGGTATTGCTAAAATGTCTGTACTACTCAAAGCAATCTACAGATTTTATGCAATACCTATCAAAATACCAACAGCATTTTTCACAGAACTAGATGAAACAATCCTAAAATTTATATGGAACTTCAAAAGATCTGGAATAGCTGAAGCAATCTTGAAAAAGCAGAGCTGGAGGCATCACATCCTGGACTTCAAGTTATATTATAAAGCTGTAGTTATCAAAACAGTATGGCACTGGCAAAAAATAGACACATAGATCAATGGAACAGAATAGAAAACCCAGAAATTAACCTACAACTATATGGTCAACTGATCTTCAACAAAGCAAGAATGAATAGCCAATGGGAAAAAGTCTCTTCAACAAATGGTTTGGGACATATTCTATTTGAAACAAATCACCTTGCTTTTGATTACCACACTTTTCGAGTGGTTCTTGCCCTTCATGTCTCAAATATTAACTGCTTTGGCAGAATGATACTAGGTTTTTTCAGGTGACCATGTTAGTGACTTCTGGAGAACAACTGGCATTAGCAACAGAATTTTGCCTTGATATTTCATATCAATAATAACATATACACATAGCAGAAAAAATGTGATGGAAGTAGATGTTATATGCAGTAAGAAAATGAATACACAAATATTTAAACTATATATTAGGGCACTAATTAAGAAATCTGGACTTTCTGGAAGTCTAAAGAGCTGCAATGTAGGAAGTAATACTGCAAAGTCAACTAATATATCATCTCCAAAATGAACTGTGGAAAAAATAAAAGACTCTTATAAAATCAGATATTCAAGCTCAGTTTGGAGTAACCATTACTGCCAAAAGTTACTTCATCAGCAGGCACACCTCATAAGACTTGTTTAAAAACAATATACACTCAAGAGTTTCATCAGCTTAGAAAGATCCACCACAAAATCCCAAGATAATAAAGGGTGTCTTAAAAGCTCTTTTAAATGTAATATCCTTCTTTTTTTTTTTTTAAAGATTTTATTTATTTGAGACAGAGAGAATGAGATAGAGAGAGCATGAGAGGGAGGAGGGTCAGAGGGAGAAGCAGACTCCCTGCCGAGCAGGGAGCCCGATGCGGGACTCGATCCCGGGACTCCAGGATCATGACCTGAGCCGAAGGCAGTCGCTTAACCGACTGAGCCACCCAGGTGCCCCTAAATGTAATATCCTTCTAAGCTCAGTGAGAACTGCTAGAAACTTTACTACCTGCTCCGGAAATAAAGATGGCAACAGGAAGTGGATAATTATAACTGGATACATAATTTTACAGGAATATAGAAATAATATAGAGTTCAGTAAATTATGTAGCAGCCTGAACAATTAGTTGGTGGAAGGGTTTCACTATTGGGATTACGTGAACTCCTAGCAGTCCTCAAGGGATTTATTGCATAGCACTTGAATAACTAAACATTTATAAGAGAAAACAACCATACTGTACTACACTATGGAGGTCTTAAAATTTCAGGCAATTGTAAGGTGAAAGGACAGATCATTTCGCCTGAGTTAAAAGGAGAGAAGAGTCGAATTGGCACTGCTCCATGTGCATACCACTTAAATCTAATGAATACTTACTTTTAGAAATGCATTATAAGAGAACATTCTTAATGTCTGCCTGGAATAAAAACCATTAATTTGTCCAATTTTATTTAAAATATATTCTCATTTATAAGTCTTGGGGTACATTTACCAAACAACCCTTTAAATTATATTGAATGTTAAGGCTAGAACTGTTTATATAATCACATCTTAAGATTAGAAGTGTTTACAATATTAATTTTATCTTCTGAGTGAAAGGAATACTGAGATTGTCTTACCTGCAAGTGCTCTTGGACCTGCCAGTGTGTCATTTCCAGGTCCATCCTGCGGATACACACAGCTGTAATTCATGCAGGTTAGTAATGTGTCGATTTGAGATGTTCGGAGATCTTCTGGACAATACATGGGCAGGAATGCAACATCAATTGCGATCTCATGGTTCAGACCTGTATAGAAAAACCACACTTTGTTAAAAGTGGGTTAGTATAGGAGGCTAATGAGGCCAGGTTTGCTGGTTTGATCCTGACATGTGCCAAATAGCTTCACACATGTAAATGCATGGTTTCAAAGCTAGGGATTAAACCCTTTGCTGTGCAAAACTTTATGAATACATGCAACTGGTTGAAAGAGGAGACACTTTAGTGCAGTCTATCACCACTGCTGGAAATAGCAATCCAAAAACCAAAAAACAAAAAACCCCAAAATGTTTTACCTATGGATATAAGGTTTAAATTTTAATATCCAGAGGATGGCTTGGTCACATAAATGAAGAGATGTAGCATATTTTTCTTGGTCTAATATTATGTCAGGGGCTATTACAGAATAAAATAATTCAGAGATGACTATTGGTTCCCTTATTGCCATTTGGACTTAAGGATGTATGATTCAAGCAAAGCCAGGGAAGGTAGAAACAAGGTCCCATCTGTCCTTAATTATGCAATACAAACTTCATTTACTCACCCTTAGGGCTATAAAAGGTTGCAGCAGAAAAGGGGCTATGGGGGAACAACCAAAGTAAATCCTGGCCTGTGACTGTCATCTCTTTGTATGGGTCACTGTCTACCAGGGTGGATCTAAAAGACTTTGTAGGGGTGCCTGGGAGACTCAAGTCAGTCAGGTGTCTGACTCTTGATTTCAGCTCAGGTCATGATCTCTGGGTCCTGGGATCGAGCCCTGCATTGGGCTCTGTGTTCAGTTGGGAGTTGGCTTGAGGATTCTTTCCCTCTGCCCTTCCCCCTGCTTTTGCATACTCTCTCACTAAAATAAATAAATCTTTTTTTTTTTTTTTTTAAAGAAGACTTTTTAGAGGCAAGGCTTTGAGCTGGGTACAAAAGGATGAATAGCATTTAAATAAACAGAGAGAAGGATTTCAGGCAGGGCAGGGAGTAGTCAAAATTATAGATCAGAGTAAGGAGACCATCTTGACTGGACAAAGGGTAAACATACAGAGCACAGCTTGAAAACCCCATGAATTCTACCCAGTCACCCAAAACAGAATCCTGGAGGTTATCCTTAACTCCTTCCTTTTGTTCTTCCCTGATGTTCAGCCAGCAAGTTTTATAGATTCTATGATCTTAATATCTCCTCTACTCATCGCTATAGCAATTCTTAACTACTGTGCTTGGGTCAATGATAGGTAAACAAATTCCTTCCTGTTAAGCTGTAAACTGATACAGAAAAACAAGTGCATTTTTCTAAAAGATTTTATTTATTTATTTGACAGAGAGAGAGCACAAGCAGGAGGAGCAGCAGGCAGAGGGAGAGGGAGAAGCAGGCTCCCCACAGAGCAAGGAGCCTGATGCAGGGCTCAATCCCAGGACCCTGGGATCATGACCTGAGCCAAAGGCAGACACTTAACCATGTGAGCCACCCAGGCACCCTATTATTTTTGCTTTTTATGGGCAAATGACACTAAAATTCCACAGCTTTAATTTAACATACAACTAATGGCTACTTAAAGGTTTTAAGGATAACTAAAATTTGGTATTCATAAACTATAATGGTCACAATATCTAGAATTTACTGAGGATTTCAATTCAGTATAGGAAGTATAACTACCCCGTAACTCTAAGCAATGTTGCAAAACTCATGTGGAAGTGCACATATTGGTATCTTATTGCCTTGATTCTAAGACCAAATTTAACTCTAAGATATACCATCAACTTAATAACAGTTTTAATAAAAAGGAAATTCTGCATTAAATGTACCCATTGACCATAAGATGCATTCCAACTTGCAAATATAAAAAAAGAAAGTATGCCTTAGAATTGAGAAAATATACAAAGTTGGAAATCCTGATATTCTCAGGAAGGTAGTTTGATTATCAGTGTGTCATTGATACTCTTTTGAATTATTTTCTAAATTATAAAATATGGTGAGTTTAGCTTCATCATTACTCATGAAATTTGTTGTGAGTTCCTTGGTTAAAACTAGAGTTGTGGGTACAAATGTATAAGTAAACAGGCCTCAGAGCCTCCATACTTGCTGTTTCTGTGCCTAGAATGTCCTTTCCTCAGATAACCGGATTGTTCCTTCACCCCCATCAGGATTCTGGTGAAATGTTATTTTTTCAGGGAGACCTAACCCTAACCCTGACCAATCTATGAAAATGTCATCCTTTCCAGGGTGCCTGGGTGACTCGTCGGTTAAGCCTCAGACTCTTGATTTTGGCTCAGGTCATGATCTCAGGGTTGGGAGATCGAGCCCCGCATCAAGCTCCACCCTGGGCATGGAGACTGCTTACGATTCTCTCTCTTCCAGCTTTCCCCCTAAGGTCAGGAACATGGCAGGGATGTCCACTCACCACTGCTATTCAACATAGTACTAGAAGTCCTAGCCACAGCAATCAGACAACAAAAAGAAATAAAAGGCATACGAATCGGCAAAGAAGAAGTCAAACTCTCACTCTTTGCAGATGATACTTTATGTGGAAAACCCAAAAGACTCCACCCCAAAACTGCTAGAACTCATACAGGAATTCAGTAAAGTGCAGAATATAAAATCAATGCACAGAAATCAATGCCATTCCTATACACCAACAACAAGACAGAAGAAAGAGAAATTAAGGAGTCGATCCCATTTACAATTGCACTCAAAACCATAAGATACCTAGGAATAAATCTAACCAAAGTGGCAAAGAATCTGTACTCAGAAAACTATAAAACTCTCATGAAAGAAATTGAGGAAGACACAAAGAAATGGAAAAACGTTCCATGCTCATGGATTGGAAGAACAAATATTGTGAAGATGTCAATGCTACCTAGAGCAATCTACACATTCAATGCAATCCCTATCAAAATACCATCCACTTTTTTCAAAGAAATGGAACAAATAATCCTAAAATTTGTATGGAACCAGAAAAGACCCTGAATAGCCAGAGGAATGTTGAAAAAGAAAACCAAAGCTCGTGGCATCACAATTCTGGACTTCAAGCTCTCTTACAAAGCTGTCATCATCAAGACAGTATGATACTGGCACAAAAACAGACACATAGATCAGTGGAACAGAAATAGAGAGCCCAGAAATGGACCCTCAACTCTGTGGTCAACTAATCTTCGACAAAGCAGGAAAGAATGTCCAATGGGAAAAAAGAGAGTCTCTTCAACAAATGGTATTGGGAAAATTGGACAGCCACATGCAGAAGAATGAAACTGGATCATTTCCTTACACCACACACAAAAATAGACTTAAAATGTTGAAAGACCTAAATGTGAGACAGGAGTCTATCAAAATCCTTGAGGAGAACACAGGGAGCAACCTCTTCGACCTCAGCTGCAGCAACTTCTTCCTAGAAACATCGCCAAAGGCAAGGGAAGCAAGGGCAAAAATGAACTATTGGGACTTCATCAAGATAAAAAAGCTTTTGCACAGCAAAGGAAACAGTCAACAAAACCAAAAGACAACCGACAGAATGGGAGAAGATATTTGCAAATGACATATCAGATAAAGGGCTAGTATCCAAAATCTATAAAGAACTTATCAAACTCAACACCCAAAGAACAAATGATACAATCAAGAAATGGGCAGAAGACATGGATGACATTTTTCCAAAGAAGACATCCAAATGGCCAACAGACACATGAAAAAGTGCTCAGCATCGCTCGGCATCAGGGAAATCCAAATCAAAACCTCAATGAGATACCACCTCACACCAGTGAGAATGGCTAAAATTAACAAGTCAGGAAACAACAGATGTTGGTGGGGATGCGGAGAAAGGGGAACCCTCCTACACTGTTGGTGGGAATGAATGCAAGCTGGTGCAGCCACTCTGGAAAACAGTATGGAGGTTCCTCAAAAAGTTGAAAATTGAGCTACCCTACGACCTAGCAATTGCACCACTGGGTATGACTCTGAGAAACAAATTGAGGGTTCTAGAGGGGAGGGGGGTGTGGGGATGGGTTAGCCTGGCGATGGGTATTAAAGAGGGCATGTGTTGAATGGAACACTGGGTGTTATACGCAAACAATGAATCATGGAACAGTACATCAGAACCTAATGATGTAATTATGGTGATTAACATAATAAAATTTTTTTAAAAATCCCCCAAAAAAAGATTCTCTCTCTTCCTCTCCCTCTGCCCCTCCCCCCCAAAAAAGATAAAATGTAATCCTTTCCTACTACCTTACTCTCCGACCCCTTTCTAGCATTTATCACCATCTCTTTTATCAGCAAGCTCTTTTATTTGTTGTGTTCACTCACTTAACCTCATAACCTCAGGATCTAGAACAGTGCTGGGCACACATTAGATGCTCAGTAAATACTTGTTAAATCAAGCAAATGAATGTATGTTTGTGCATTTTTTACCTATAATTTTCAAATACTAGACTTTAAGATATTTGTGCATTATGTGTTCAAATATGAATTCATCTGTATTCCTATTACCAAAGGAGAGGAACACAAATATCCTTCCCACAGTGTACATACATATGCACTTCAATGGTGACTTCCTGTTTATGTGTTATTTCAGTAACTTACACCTTATTGTCTAGGTAAATGTGATCATATATCTGGACTATATTCAAAATTATAGGAAAATATAAGATCAAACAAGTAAGCTCATATTATTCTTTTGTAATGTGTGTTATATGCAATTTATATATCTTCTTCCTCAATTCTTTGTAATCACTGAATTTCTTTTCCAATAAAAAGTGTGAAAGTGTGTGTATGTGTGCATTGGAGGGGAGGCAATTTATAATCCCGGCACTTAGCACAATGCTTGCAACATACCATATTTTACTTAATCTAAGATGCCACTAAGAAAAATGCTACCAACTGAACAAAGACATGACTTCAATTGTAAGATGCATATCGATTTTCAAAGATGTTAAAATATGGGGAAAATGGGTGTCTTATGATGACAAAATCTGATAGTAGGTGCTTCAGGTTTCATGATTAAATTATAATTAATTATGCAATGAAATAAGGGACAGAATTAAGGTATGGCAACAGTAATCTAGCTCTGGAACCCATATAATCCAGTGTACTGCTCCTACTGAGATACAAGAGTGGGGAAGCCTCTCAGTGGGAAAAGATATCCTGAGGATGTAGCCAGTGAGGGAACCAACAGTGAGAAAACTCGGGGCTACTCAGTTAATGGTTCGAATAGGCTTCAACAAGGAAGGAGGCATATCTTATGGGTAAGAATAATTTGCCCTGAGCCCGCAGGCTAGTACCAAGGAGGGGAGGAGTTATGTTGGCCTCCTTGGTTGCTTTAATAGAAGAAAAAAGTCAAGGTAAGTAAATCCTTATTATTTCAATACAACTACAACATATTAAATTGCTTTGATGTTATAGTTAACGTTATTAAAAATGCATTTAAATGCATTTTGCAAAAAAGGAAAAGAACAAACCATATAGAAAACTGGGGGGGGGGGTTCTCTTGACTTGTAAGAGACAAAGCTGATGACCTTCAGAGGTTTACAAAAGGCTGGCTGAATTATGATCGTTATTACCTGAGTCAAATGCAAATTGAAGGGAGGACTCTTAAGCTTTGATTGACTCACAGTATTTCATGGGTAACTAAATCAGTGTTAGAGGAGTCATGGATATACTAATGCCATCTAGGTTTTGAAAACTGTTTTCTTATATTTAAAGGGGGAATAATTCTTCAAATTAGGAGAGATTGACCAATAGATTTTGTAACTGGGCCTAAAGGCGCTGAAAATTTAGTTTGTTACTTCATTCCAGTATCTTCTTTTTGAAATGTGTGTTATTTCATAATAAGCAATGGAATGAGGTTTTAGTGCTTACTAAAAATATCTATTTATTTGAGACAAGTGAGATGACATAGCAAGGATTTTAATACAAGAACCAGCATTTCTGGAATAGGTTTCTGATATTGCAACAGGTTGTTGGGAGCCATTAGAATTATAGGAAGGAAGATTCATAATTCCATTCAATGTTCTCAATAATGATTCACCCTAGACCAATCAGAGCTAATGATTGTAACAGAGTTGTGGTGTGAATAACCTTTCTGGCTTCCAGAATAAGACACTTCAAAATTACTGGGTCCTCCAGAGATCAGCAAGATACTGCAGAGAAATAATCAATCACTGGAAGATAGTATCAACATAGGTGGACAAACCTCATGTTGGAAGAAATTTAAATATCATATAGATTTATCTGCTTGGATTGGTTTAGCTAGTTTTTTTTGTTTTGTTTTGTTTTTTAAATATTTTTATTTATTTATTTAACAGAGAGAGAGAGCACAAGTAGGCAGAGCGGCAGACAGAGGGAGAGGGAGAAGCAGGCTCTCTGCCAAGCAGGGAGCCTGATGCGGGGCTCGATCCCAGGGCCCTGGGATCATGACCTGAGCGGAAGGCAGCCACTTAACCGACTGAGCCACTCAGGCACCCCTGGTTTAGCTAGTTTTATGTAAAAATAGAGGTCTTTTAGAACAGGGGTCAGCAAACTATGACCTGGGGGTTCAAATCTAGGTTGCACCTGGTTTTGTACAACCCAGGAGCTAAGAATGTTTTTTTTTACATCTTAAATGGTTGAAAAAAATCAAACGAATATTTTGTGATATGTGAAAATTATTTATAAGCAATTCAAATGTCAGTGTCTATAAATAAAGTTTTATCCAAACAGAGCCATACACATTCATTTATATATTGTCTATGACTGCTTTCACACTAAAACAGCAGAACTAAGTAGTTGGGACAGATACTGTATGGCCTGCAAAGCCTCAAACATTTACTACTTGGCCCTTTACAGAACAAGTGTACCCCCATGTACTGAACACATATAAGGTTGTCTTTCGGTTTTAGGATTATATCTTTTAACAGAGAGTACATTATTAAGAGATGTAATCATCTCTTTTGAGTTCACTGCTCATGCCATGCTTACAAAGGATTGGCCATTTGTCTGGTCTCATAATACAACTTAGTTTCATACTTTCACAAAAGCTGTAATAAGTTCACTACTTTCACATCGGATACTCACCACTTATTTAACCAAAATCTGAGAATATCTGGGGCACCGAGATGGCTCAGTTGGTTAAGTGTCTGCCTTTGGCTCAGGTCATGATCCCAGGGCCCTGGGTTGGAGCCCCGCATCGGACTCCCTGCCTGCTTCTCTCCCTCTCCCTCGTGCTTGCTCTCTCTCTCTGGTGCTCTCTCTCAAATAAATAAATAAAATCTTTTAAAATGCCCCAAATCTCAGAATATCTATACTTCAAGTCCTATTAAGAGAGTAGTATTTCTCAATCTTAATTCTATTCCTGCATACCTGACAAGCAGGATACATTCTTGTCACTGGCTCTGGTGTAGCAGTAAGTCTCCCTTAGGAAGGTAAGGGACATTGAATAGGCTGCTTCTCTGGAGTGTACCAGAATCTTATGGAGTGTGGGAAGGTCTCCCTCAGTTGATTCTGATAGGCTACCTCTTCCCATCAAGGTTCTATAAGAATCAATGGATCAGCACTAGGTGTTATATGTAAGTGATGAATTGTTGGATTCTACTCCTGAAACTAATATTATACTATATGTTAACTAAAATTTAAATAAAAACTTGAAATATAAAAAAAGAATCAATGGATCAGTACCATTGATCAGGAAAAAAATCCCTTTCTTTATTCCTGCCAGAAAGTTGACCAAAAATTACTGTCAAATGGTAGTTATTTGCAGGTACCTAGTAATACGTACTTTTTCTGTTTCCTTTTAAACGTTCTGTTTGGTTTTATCCACCTGTGACTTCTTTTTCACTGTTTTTATCCCTGTAAACCACCTTAAGTCCTTGAAAATAGGTAGGACATAAAACAGCATAATTCTAATGTGGACTAGAGCTGATTGGACAGAATGACACATTTGCCCTTTTCATTTGATTCTTGCTTTTAAGTGATGTAAAGAGACCAAGTAATACAGTCTAGTAAAAAGAAGCATTTGAAACAGGTCTGACATGTCTAACAGAGTCAGGGGAAATCATACTTTTCATAGATTGTACACATACACACAATCACATGTATGTACAAATGTGTGTGAAGAGGCAGAGAAGAGGGAGTGTGAGACAGTAAAAATGAAAAAGGAATCCTGATAAAAGTCAAGGTAATTCATTCCAGTACTGTAGATGTAAAAATCTATGAACTGCACTTTCTTTCAGCTATTAAATTAATTTGCTAATGACATTTCCTCATTCTTTTATTTTAAGGTAACAAGACCTTCCTTTGAGATACAAATAAACATTTTTCTTGACTCTGAGAATAGCTTATTTTGGCTATGGTTTTATTTTAGAATTTTTTGTGTACATTTTTCACTCATTGGAAAGAAAGATAAAATTAAATATAAGTTTAAAAATGTGTTGACTTTTTAAAAGTTTTTATTTAAATTCCAGTTAGTTAACATACAGTGTAATATTAGTTTCAGGTGTACAATATAGTGATTCAACACTTCCATACATAACCCTATGCTCATCACAAGTGCACTCCTTAATCCCCAACACCTAGTTCACCTATCCCCTCACCCATCTTCCCTCTGGGAACTGTCAGTTTGTTCTCTTAAAAAAAATGTGTTGACTTTTTGTGAGTGTGTGTGTATGTGTGTGTGTGTATATATATATACACCACATCTTTTTTTTTTATTGACTTTTAAATTTCTGTAAGTTCTATGGGCACTTCTCAGTTTTGAACAACCTGAGAAAATCCATTTATTTTTCCTTATGGTTCCTTATAGACCAGGGAAGTTTTTTAGCTTCTTTCTGTTACAACCTGATTTAGTTGAGAATTTAATTTTTTATAGGGGCTAAACAGACCTCTGTTCATAGGAGCTTTTCTTGATTAGTACCCCTTTTCTCTTTAACCTACATTTTACCTTTCAACAGTTCAGATACACTGAGAAAGAGGCAGAGAACATGAGCAAGAAAGTGGAGGCTAAAGAAAAACAAAATCAGTTTTAGAAGTAGTCAGGTAGTCAGGGGTGGGGAAAGTTCCCTTGGTTCCCATTCTTCTCTGCCCAAATACTTTCCTAGGACTTGCCAATATTCAAAGCCCACAATTAGAGCTTAATGTATTCCACAATTAGTGCTCCATTCCTCCCTTAGTTTGAGCTAAACAGGAGCTCTCCTTGGACTTTATTTTTTTGGGGGGGAGCTTAATTTTTTCAAGCAAAATAGTATCATCTATATTGAAAATATATTAAATTAATGATATTCAAAGAAAAGAATACTTCACTTACCTAGGATGGTTACTTCAAAATGTCCAAGGCTCCGGGCACTCTTAAAGTCATCAAGGTTTGGGGGCCTTCCCTCTGGTGGTATGTACTTTGCAGGCTGAGAATTAAACTGCTCAGTAAGAAACTTTCTCTGCTCGAAAATAAATTTCCGTGGAATACTTTCAGGATAAACATGGCTGTAATGCAGGTGATCTATTAAGCCAAACTTTTTCTCTCTCCAGAGCTGACTTTCCCACCTATCGCTTATAGTTTTTCTGGCTTTCCCTGCGGTACTAGTACTTGCACTTTCTCGACCTGTTAAAGACACAATGAGATAGACACAATGGACCTGCAAACTAACCAAATCAAGTCATTCAGGACAAAAAAGTACAGATTAATGAGGAATAGTTTAATTAACTTTAAAAATCAAACAACCACATATAAAATGTAAATTGAATGTCCAAAAGATAATTCTTATTAAAGTGAAGAGAGAACTAAATTCATTTACAAAATAAACTTTTCCTCCAAAATATTAAAAACTGATATTGTTTTTCTCTGTTGCTGGAATTATGAAGATTTGTAATTACCTTCCTTACACTTTTTCTGTATTTTCTAAACTCTCTTAAATAAACATATATTCCTTTTATATCCAGTGACAAATTCAAGTTAAGTCAAATTTATAACTCTTATAGATGGGACCACCACTCACTATTGGTGGAATTTAAGCTTCTAATAAAACTTGTTAATCTTTGCTAAAAGGAGCCTGAACAGATACAAAATACAGTCTTTTTCATGGATATAACTCCTTCAAGAAAGCCACTTATTATATATGATACTCCTCTCAGATCTAAATAACATGGAAAACAAAGAGGGAACTAAACTCAGATGAAAGATCTCTTCAATTCTTGATTGTTTTCTATCAAGTCTATTTATCACTTATGTATAGTTTATCTAACATATTTAGTCTATAAGGCAGAATACAATTTCTCCCCTACACATTATGACATTCATTCATTCATTCTTTCTTTCAGCAAATAATTATTGAGCACTTATTATATATATTCCAGTAACTGTGCTAAAGAATTTGGTAAAATAATATTTTAACTGAATAATACATCCTGGGAACTGAAGACACATGGCAGAATCAGAAAAAACAGATTTTGGAACAAGACTCTCATGTTGTCAGTTCTGCTAGCTGAGACAAACTGACAGCTACTCTGTTTCAGAGTTTACCAAGGTTGCTGAATTGCTTCCTTGCAGGTGGCCTATGCCTTGGTGCTTATTATTATCCTAGCATAAAAAACCTTGCTAAGGCTGAAGGGGGTTTCAATAGCAAAGTTTCAATGTGGTTAATATACCACTTCTGCTTTTGAAACATACCCTATTCCCACACCACTTTCTTAGTTTTTTAAAACCTAGCCAGAGACTTACTAAAAATTTCTTATGGGGTAAAGTACTAGACTGAGTTGTAAGAGAAAATAAAGAAGTTGAATACACATTTCTTATTCTCCAAGAATTCAAACCACTGAAATATTACAAAAGAGTTTAATTCAAAATTCAGTTGATGAACACACTTAACTTCCTATAATAATGCTTGATAACAAAAAGGATAAAAAATGTAATTGCACATGAAAAAAGAATGGAATTAATCAAAGCCAAGAGAAAAACTCAGTTAATAGGACTAAACAGAACTGTAGAATGATTTAATCTTTTTTATTTACTAAAATAGTTCTCCTTTCCCCAAACTAATAAAAGTACATAATTAGAACAACAATAAGTAGCTTTACAATGACTCAAGTTATAGTGAACATTCCTGACTTATTTGTTCTAAAATATAGCATGCAAATAACAAGTTATAAGCTATTCCAATTTTTAAAAATTAAATAATCATATCTACCTTATAGGAAAAAAAAATCCTATGACTGACCCTGTCAAGAATAAGTCAGAATATTTGCTATGCTTTGTTTGAGTGTTGATATCAAGGACTGGCAAGGTACAAATGTTTATTTGAAAAATTCCTCTGAAAAATCCTGCTTTGTTTTTTAGTTTGGTAACTTGGGACTGTAAGTACCCTACCCTGATTATATGTTCACAATTATTACAGATGGATATGAATTCAATACAAGAGATACTGTCAGTCACTGTGAATAACAAGATTTCAAAGGCAATAATTAGGAGACAAAAATACATCTAGAGTTCAGGTTTTTCTAAAAATATGATGGAAAATTATGAACTGGAATTCTTTTATTTTTAGTTTGAATACTACTAAAATTGCCATATGAAACACATTATGTTTTTAAGCCTAAGGCACAACAAAGATACAGGTTAATTCCCTAGTAAAATTATGTTTTTGCATATATATATGTATATACATATATATATGATTATATGTTATAATTATAATAATAACTTATTTTAATGATTCATTTTACCCTAATTTCTGGTGAGAACAGACTTATGTTTTAGTGGGGAAAAATTCTAGTAGAAGACCACATTAAGGTTGTGAGGTAAAAAAAATACAGTATAAATGTATGTATGTAGGCATGGTAATTTTGTTTCTTCACAAAATCTACTCTGAGCATTTTATTATATAGATAAAAATGATGGGCAGGGGTGTATGGAAGCATTTGGGAGGGTGAGGAGCTATTTTCTTTGCCTCTTCCCCCCTTCCATCCACTAACTCCACCTTGGTGTAAGACCTACAAGGCTAGAAAAGAACAGGGTATTTTTCACTCAGTAGCAAGTATAAAACAGACTTTTCAAAAAAGTGTGTAAGTCAGAGGCTACCTGTAACATTTTATGATCTCAGTAATACTGTTATTGTCATACTCAACAGTGAAAAATTTAAAGCATTTTCTCTAAGATCAGGAACAAGACAAGATACCCTCTCTCATCACTTTTCTTCAATAGAGTACTGGGAGTCTTAACCACAGCAATAAGACAAGAAGAAAAAAAGGCATCCAAATTGGAAAGGAAGAAGTAAAACTGTCACCATTTGTAGATGACATAATATACATATTCCTAAAGTCTCCACACACAAAAAAACCTGTTAGAACTCAAAAACAAATTTAGTAAAGATGCAGGATACAAAATCAATATACAGAAATGTGTGGTATTTCTATACACTAACAACTATCAGAAAGAGAAATTAAGAAAACAATCTCATTTACAATTGCACCAAAGAATAAAATACCTAAAAATAAATTTAACCAAGGTGGTGAAAGACCTGTACTATAAGACACTGATGAAAGAAACTGAAGATGACACAAACAAATGGAAAGATATTCTGTCTTCATGGACTGGAAAAATCAATATTGTTAAAACGTCCATACTACCCAAAGCAATCCACAGATTCTATGGAATCCCCATCAAAATTCCAATGGCATTTTCCACAGAACTAGAACAAGTAATTCTATAAATTTGTATGGAACCACTAAAGATCCTAAATAGCCAGGGCAATCTTTAGAAAGAATAACAAAGCTGAAGGTATCATACTGGCAGATTTCAAACTATACTACAAAGCTATATAGTAATCAAAACAGTATGGTACTGGCATAAAAACAGACACACAGATCAATGGAACAGAACTGAGAGCCCAGAAAGAAATCCACATATATACGGACAATTAATTTATGACAAAGGAGTCAAGAGTATACATTGGAGAAAGGACAGTTGTTTCAATAAATGGTGCTGAAAAAACTGGAAAGTCACATGCAAAAGATGAAACTAGACTGCTAACTTACACCATACACAAAACTTAACTCAAAATGCATTAAAGATTAGAATGTAAGACCTGAAACCATAAAATTCCTAGAATAAAACATAGGCAGTAAGCTCCTAAGGCACTAAGACATCAGTCTTAGAGATGTGTTTCTGGATCTGACTTCAAAGCCAAGGGAAAGAAAAGCAAAAAGAAACAAATGGGATCACATCATACTAAAAAGTTTTTGTACAGCAAAGGAAACCATCATCAAAACAAAAAGGCAACCTACTCAATGGGAGGAGATATTTGCATATATCTGATAAGGAATTAATATCTAAAATACAGAAAGAACCCATACAACTTAACAATTAAAAAAAAGAAACCTGATTAAAAAAAGCGGCAGAGGATCTGAATAGTCATTTTTCCAAAGAAGACATACAGATGGCCAATAGGCACATGAAAACAAGTTCAACACCACTCATTACTAGGAAAATGCAGATCAAAACCACAACAAAATATCACCTTACACCTGTTAGAATGGCTATTATCAAAAAGACAAGAAATAACTATTGGAGAATATGTGGAGAGAAGGGAACCCTCACACATTGTTGGTGGGAATATAAATTGGTGCAGCTGCTAGGAAAACAGAATGGAGGTCTTTAATAAAATTAAGAGTAGATTTACCATATAGATTTAGCTGTTCCAATTCTGGGTATTTATCCAAAGAATACAAAAACACTTATGTGAAAAGATACATACATCCTTATCTTCGTTGTACCATCATTTACAGTATCTCCAATAAACATCTTAGAGCATGTCTCCTTGTGTACCAAACACATAGGTCAGAGGGTATAACATATTTGGTATTGTCAAATTACTCTCAAAAGTAGTAGAACCACATTTATATAAGAAAGGGGAGCATGACTCTTTTTCTTTGAAATACTTACATATCTGCTTATATTATAAAACAAACAATAGAAAAATACATCATAGAATGAATTAAAAAGTTACCTACAGTGAGTGAGAAGGAATCAGGTGCAGGGAAGGGGATAAAAGCTAAACTTCTTTAAATATATATTCTTTTTCTATATTTGACTATTGAACCATGAAAATAATTTAGAAAATTGTTTATTTAAATAAAGCAATCCTTAAGCATCAAAATAAAAGAAATGAACCTAAATATCTATCCACCATATAACCATACAGAGAGAAATATCACAAGTGGCTTTAATGAATAATAATTCATGTATCCCTAGTTGGCATATTCCAAAGACAAAATAATTGCAAAACAAACAAAACAAACCTTAAATTGTTTATAGTAAAATTGTTGATGCAAATGTTCAGGTGATTATTCTGGAACTGTTTTCATATGTGGTGAGTGAAAGCAAACAAATTACTATGTAATATTCTGATTCTATTATCTCCAGGGTCTTCAGATGCAAGATTCTTGCAGTGGAAAAAAGCCTCTTCTAGCTTTATCTCCTAAGTAAAAATTCTGTAGTTGTGAATTTGAATTGAAAATATAAAAATGAAATCAAGACATATTTTGTCTTAACTAAGCAACCAACCAGTCAGCTGAGTACATTTTCTAGTTCTGTCCACTTCAAAGGCC